TTGACAAGGCATCAACAAAACAGTGTTTAGACACAGTGAAGAATACAGCTTGGCATCCCGTCAAATAATGTCACATCAACTTTGAATATTACAGGCAAAGACATTCAGTGTAACACACAGATGTGTACTCTCACATTCACACACAAACACACACACATGTTCTCAGATTAACCTAATCAAACTAATCTTTCAGATTAACACACATTATAAAACGGCCTCTAATCCTCGCCCGTCCTTCTGCAGAGCGAGCTGAGCGGTCATTGAGATAAACAGAAGAGCAGTGGCTGCTCTGTCATTGCGCTGAGTCACACACGTCACATGAACACACATGTTTTCAGTGATAGCTGTACCGTTTTTGAATGGAGCAAGATATAGGACGTGTTGAGCAAACGGACAAGTGTGCCAGATCTGTCTCTTGGACCACATTTGTACTACAACGATTGTGATTGTACTGCAATATTAAATGCAATATTTCATGTTTATCTTTCTTTTAAATCAGACAATTAATTAGAAATAAATTGCTGGTATTCTAACAGAGACATTCTTTTCGGATTCAAGCCTGCAAAGCTGTCCATTAAGACATATTTTCTGTACATGCTGGTGAAAGTCTCAACAGATATGTAGTTATTTCATGCTCTGTGATAAAGTCCTCAGATTTTAGTAAAATTCAACTTTACAAAATCAGGTCAAGACATCTAGACTCTATTATCAGCCATAGCTTTTTGTGAGATATATCCTCAACATACGGTATAATAGAGTGTATTTGTTTAGACTTACTTTCCTGGAAATGTCCCATCCTTAAAATGCAGTTACATTAATCATTTACTTGTCGCACACGATAAACACATTTTACATATATATATAAATGCTTATGACGAGAGACGTTTAATCTATGTGTGTGTTATAACAGCATTAAATACTATTTTAAAGTACAGGACTACAGTAATTTAATGTCACTGTATTATAGGAGACTGCTGCCCTCTTGCCTGCTGATGTGGTATAGCACACAGTGTTGTAACCTACCAGCTGCATTTATGTGAAATCAGAAAAGTAGGACAACTATTTGCAGAAAATAAGTAGATTAATAGAGCAAAATACAACTTTAAAATAAATGGTTTTCAAATAAATAAAGAGCAAAATAGACCCTTTACAAAAGTGTGACATTATATCTCTATGTTTTAACACCAAGATATTCAAAACATATATTTACAACATGAACTGCTACCTCCGCGACCCGACCACTGATAAGCGGGAGAAGATGGATGGATGAAGTGAAAAATACACACACACACACACACACACACACACACACACACACACACACACACACACACACACACACACACACACACACACACACACACACACACACACACACTTTTGCATTTCAAAGTATTGCTTGTACATACAGTTGAATGTTACTGTGCACTGCTGAATGAGCCAGACTTACAGACATTGCTGACATGGTTTGGTATTGATGACTTTGTCAAAACCAGACATGACAAACAATATGCCAGATATCCTTCGGGTGCACCAGACTGTTTGTGTGTGTTTATGTGTGTAGTGGTTGTGTGGTTGCACTTGTGTTTGTCTTACATGGAGGTCAGTTTGGACAGACAGTCTGCCGTCCCAGATGTCATCAGAGTGACCAGTAGTCCCATTTTCTGACCTCTGACCTTTCCAGATGGTGACACCCTGGTACCCCCAGCAGTCTGTGTGTGTGTGTGTGTGTGTGTGTGTGTGTGTGTGTGTGTGTGGTGTGTGTGTGTGTGTGTGTGTGTGTGTGTGTGTGTGTGTGTGTGTGTGTGTGTGTGTGTGTGTGTGTGTGTGTGTGTGTTTGAGTGTGTTCTCAAGTGTGAAAGGTTTGACAGATTGACTAATAAGGTTTACATTAATTTAGGCTCTAATCTTATTGCAGAATTTTAGTTTTCTTAACAAAGGTTTGGGAAATTCTTGAAAACATGAAATATCCCATAACAGGATCCACAGGAGACAGTTTTACTCTACTCTGGTACTTCAAATTGGTAAAGCAAAGAATATAAGAGTTCAAAGAAAAAGCTTGCCTCAGAATATTTGGAGCTTTATTTTTTGATCATAATATTTTACAGCAAGAAGAATTTTGTACATACAGTACATTAATCAGGCTACGTAAATTAAACCTCTATTTTACAGTAAATTAAGCATAACATTTTCTTTATGTGAGGCACAACTTCATTCACGTTATGTGACTTCAAACAAAAAACACATGTAATTCCTTCATGGAGCATTTTCAAATGTCATATGAGACTGAATTGTTGGGTTTATGTGTTAGTGACAGAATATTGTGTTTTGCAAAAATGTGCACCATTTCTGGAAATGTTATGTTTTGTGTTGTATTTAGTTTGAATTACCAGATGCAAAACAGCAAAGAAAACCTGCTCTCCCTCTTCTACACTAATGTATTCATTACCATCATTAACCTTTCTGCTACACAGTCCCCTTATCTAATTATCCCCCTGTTACCACTGAACACACACACACACACACACACACACTTTTCTCAGCTGCTTCTCCCCATCCCCACCTCCACTACCCCACATGTTGTTTGACAAATGAGTGGTCTCGCCTCATCAAGCTCATGACAATGTAAACAGATGGGAGGTGGAGACAGGGACCCGTGCCAGCTCTAAACACTCTAAACACACTCACTCACACACGCACAACACACACACACACACACACACACAAACCACACACCAACAGACACACAAAATCCCTAACATATGTTGCCTTTATTAAAACAGCCATGCTCTGAGACACTTGCAGACGCTCTGGGAGTATGGATAACAGGAGGCTTTTTTGAAGCAGCAACCAAAAAGAAATTATCTGATTTATTGATTTGTCCCTGATTGTCATTTGTGCCTTTATAATGTGGGTGCAGATTGCTTGAGTATGAGACACAGACAGATAGTCACATAGATATTTATAGATAGTTATAAAGATTACATTATCATATCGTAGGACAGGTGGTTGATGACATGGTTTCGATGGTACTTTTCTAAGAACATTTACTCAACTATTTAAATTAATATTGTTATTGAAGTGTATGTTTTCATATTAATGGACAAGCCTGTTTTTTTAATAGCTTACATATCAGGTGACCCAGTGAGTGAGCATTGTATGGACACTGGACAAGTTGTACACACCTCTGTGTTGTTGTTTTGTACCCTCTTTTGTATCTGAAAGTATTCCCAACCCATTTCTTTTGAAACATACCATACATGTATACAGTTGTAAAATGACAAACCAGACCAGAAACATAATAAAGGGAGCAATAATACAGTTGCATCTCTTGAGACATTTATTCATAAAGAAGTTTTGTCCTTGTTGAAAAAAATAGCCAAGCAACAGGTTCAATGCTACATTCACATTTGCTGGTGTATGTACAGCACCATGAGTGAGGGAAGTCATTGTGTAAATAATTAAAGAAGTTCAAACAATGCTTACTTCTTAATTTCCCCACACCTGGTCAATCGCTGTAAAGTGGCCCTCAGATTGTCAGAGTAGAGAAGTTACATTATAGTTACAAAACTGTTGGCTCTAATCTGAGTAGTTGATTTTCTTGAATTGTTGTGTATACACTTTATAAGGTGTGGTATACATGTGTGTTCTTTATATTTGACATTCTCATTCTGAATTTCCTTTACGTAATCTGTTAAGCTTGAAATGGAAACTGTTATCTACTATTTGTTCAATCGAAATTCTACAAAATAAGTTTGGAAAACAAAGCTGTCAGCAGATACATCCCCTCAAATATAATGTAAGAAAGATTGGTGCTGTTTGAGCATTAGATTTAAGCCATATGCACGTATATACACGCTATTTAAGCACATTTGCATAACACATGGAGTTATTATTATAAAATAAGACGAATTATACAAGATCAGTAGTGAACATTTGCCAAGATAACATTTGATTTACAGTCATGTCCTGTATCCGATAGAAATAAGGTTATTATACCTGCCACATCTCTTATACACACCTTACTTTTGTTGTACCAGAAAATAAAATACAGAGGTTAATTAAAGCATTTGTGCAAATTGGAAATGATCTGCAAAACATTCAACTAAAAACACAATTTCTATAACAGTATGATATTCATCCCGATTTCAAAGTCAAAAATAAATGTAACACTGTAGGGTAATATAACAAAAACAGTGGGTCGAGCAAGTATAGTTAAGTCTCATACTAACACACATTGAACCAGAGCTCATCGTTCATGAGCAAGACGAGGTACTTGCTTTAAGTTCTCCCATACTTCTTAGTATCTTCATTTCATATTGATGTAGTTCATTTGCATAAAGTTTGACACTATGTGTGGCATAATCAAAAACAAACTGGCACTTACATGAGGTAACTCAATAAGTGCCACAGTTATCAATTAGATAAGAGTCTATTCTTAATTGTCTTATTCGCTCACAATTACGCTATGCTAAAATCGATCCTCCATCACCTGTATGTGTAATTGTAACATACTAATCTTACTAAAAACATGCTCAAATACTTTCAATTCCTTCTCACACCTTTGACTTCACTTTCACAGCTGTCTTTCTGTTTTCATGATTTGATTGGAGTTTCTTCATAGCATGGCAGTGTCTCTTTGGGCATACCAAATCATATATGTGGAAGGAACTTATGTAAATATATATATAATAGCAAAACAAAATTGAACAGAACTTTCACATGGCAAGAAGTTCCACTGAATAAAACATCCATATAATAAAGAACAGTAACGGCCCGTCCACACTACAGCTTCGACAGCTTCAAAAACGGTTTCCAACGCGTCTGCCCATTCACTTTGAATGGGGTGACGTCACTTTTCGCCGAACTGCATTGTGGGAAGCAGAGCGGAGCTTTCCTGGCGTTTCAGGCTGCAAAAGTTGAGCAATGTTCAACTTTTGAAGCTTCTGAAGCTTTCGGTGGAAGCGTCAGCCAATCAAATCATATGCCGGTACCAGCTCTAGCCAATCAAACCGCTGCTTGTGTGTCAGGGGCGGGAGATTCATGTGATTGGTTGTTGGTCGAGCTTCAGATATGCCCAGCTCCAAGCTTTTTTTGAAGCTGTAGTGTGGACGGGCCGTTAGACACAAAGCTGAAATAACAGCTCAATACATGTTACAAGTTAAATCTGAACTGTGAGAAGTTGCGGGTATTCTGCAGTTATCCCATGTTTGTTTGCTCACTTTATACACATGTTAGTTGTTTTAGTTATTCACACACTGTTTTGGCAAGTTTCTGCATTTGTAGTCCTTTTTCCACCTGTGATGAGGTCCAGATGGATGTGATCAGGTGCAGCAGGAGAAGTTGGGTTTCTTCCTGGGAGCATCTAACTTGGGCAGCGACTGATACTGATCTTTGTCATCAAAAGCAGCCTGTTTTGTTACCTGCCTGTAGGGTGGAAAGAAAACAGGTGAAATAAGACATTTATGTAACAAAAAACATTTTTAAAAGTAATGTTCATTTATATTTGACAGTATTAGTTGTCAAAAAGTTCAACACAGGAGAAGCTACAGTATATAGATCTTAATAAAATATGACTAGAGCTGCAACGATGACGACTAATCGCTTTCTCTGATCAGAAATGATATGATGATTTATTCATCGTTAGTAATCTTTGTATGCAGAATATCAGAAAAGGCTGTTTTCAGCTTTTAAAGGAGCCTGTTTTATATTGTGCTAAATTAAATACCTTTGTTTTGAACTGACAAAACCAGACATTTAAAGACATCATCTTTGAGAAACTAAATAGACATTTGAAACTATTTTTGAGATATTATAGATCAAACAAGTAATTGATTAAGATCACTCAAATCAATGAAAACCAAGTCCGCAAAAAACAAGAATGTATGCAAGTAACATAGTTGTAGACAATGCAAGAGTTACAAAAATTCACAGGAAAACTGCACATTTTACCTTCATATTAGTTTTCCTTTGCAGTTCTACTTTACACACCAGAGGGCAGCAAATGACAAAATGACAGGGCATTGTCTGTTTTATAATGCACGCAGTACAAAGAGGTCCTTATTATTTTTTTGTATTATTATTGAACTTTAACCTTTAACAAATAATTGTTGTATCCCACTAAGCCATGTGGGCAGACCTGCATATACAACACATGTCCTCTGGAACAGCTAATAAATACAAGCAAGTCTATAAAATAACTACACCTATACTTAACATCTGAAATGTCTGCTGTAAAATACTTATAGACTAAGACAAACGTCCTGGTTGTGTGATGTGCATTCTTCAGAAACAGTGTCTCACCTGGCGAGGTGCAGCACGGCCTCCAGGATGTTAGAGCCGTCTTTGGCACTAGTTTCACAGAACAGAGTGTTGTAGGTCTGTTGGGTGAACACATTAAGATTAAGGTTTTGGATATTTGGATTAAAATAGGACAATGTGGGGAGTAAGGGGCTAGGTGGTGTACCAAATGTTTAAAGTTGGTTCATTAAAATAGACTTTAAGTTTAGTAAAGTGAGTGGGTGTTTATTTGATATTACCATGGCCAGTTTCTCTCCATAGCTTGTAGGGACACAGTTATTGCCATCTTGTCTAAGATCACATTTATTACCCACAAGCATGATGGGAATATCTTCCTGGGACACATCCTGCTATGCAAACAAAAATAATTGAACAAGGTTAAACAGCAATAAATACATTAGAAATCAAAATATTAATGACCTCAATAGTGTTAACTGATATATTGTTGTACTGACTTGGTGATTACACAGAATACATTAACTAATAACCATCAAAGACCGCACATGACATACATATACACATACAGCATGCAAAATAAAAAATCACAGAAATGTCAACATGCCCACAGTTTAACAGCAGGACACAATGTAAACAATGCACATCCAACACTTACATATCTGCTGCGTGTAACAAAGAGAGAAACCATCATGATCATTGTGTTTGAAATTCAAATGAACAGTAACTCACATCTTATAAAAACAGAAATGCTGCCGGTACGAATTGAGTGGATAGATTTCATTTTCACTCTATTCTGATCATTTCTGTGACTTATCTTTGCTAAATACAAACATTGTCAGTCAGCAACTCTTTATTAGAAGGCATTACCTCGATCATGTCCACCCACTCTCGAACATTGAGAAAGCTCTTCTCACAGGTGACGTCGTACAGCAGCAACACACCGTCTGCCCGGCGGAAATATGACTTTGCAATGCTGCGAAACCTGAGAGGAGGGAGGAAAGGGTTCAAAATACACACAAAAAAACTGTATAAATACATGAGGTCTGCTAATGTGTGTGTGTGTATATATTTTACATTAAAACATTGCAGCACATAATAATAATAATAGGCTCTTAAAAACACATCTGTAAATAAATAGATGAAATATATATTATAATGAATATTGGTGCAATGAAATTGTATCCAACACACACCTCTCTTGTCCCGCAGTGTCCCATAGTTGTAGTAAGACGGGCTCTCCATCAACGATTAGTGTCTTCATTTGGAAATCCACTCCTGAACACACAAAGGAGACACAGCATGTTAAGTCACACTTCCATGCTGGCACAAAACTGGAACACAGTTTAATAAGTAGTCACGCCCTTGCTCAGTGGCTGATTAGATTACTGAATATGTACTGTAGCTATGACTACATGTGCAGAAATTAATCATTAACCAGTCAGATGGCAATTCTTGGGTGACATTATTTGACAGGTCAATGAGGATTAAGTTAGAAAATAAAGCTATAAATAAAGTTATTTGAACACAAGATTTCCAAACGTTGGTTTTAGTCTCTCCAGCTCACCCAGTGTAGCGCTGGAGTTCAGTTTGTATTCGTTCTTGCAGAGACGAAGCAGGAAGCTGGACTTCCCCACAGCTGCGTCTCCTGCCAACACGATCCTGTAGGCCTTCTCTGACGTCATGTAGCCCAGGTCAGCGCTGTCCTCGTCCTCCTTCTGGAGAGACAGGCAGAGCGCAGGTAGAGAAGGGAGGCACTCATGCAACACTTGTATTCTGCAGATTTATGCCATGTTAAATTGAACAAAATATGATGTATGAATATATTTTGTCCTCAGCATTGACCACTTTTCAACTGCTGCTTTTCCTATTTGCATCTTGGCCTTGTCACTCTCTTCAGTGAAGGAAATGAGGGACTTATGTACCGTTGCAGGACAGGCTATGTTAAAAAATACATCAAATAAAATCTAAAGCCCGACTGACAGCAGGTAGAGTTTCTAATTTACATAAAACAACCGTTTTTCTGATTAATAGAGGACAAACTGATCAATTGCTAGACTTAATGGTGTGTGGGAGCTAAAAACTCTAAAGTTTTTCCTGAAAACAAATCCCAAAATCTAATTTGAGTGAAAGAAATCTATGATTATCAACATGAAATCTGGCCAGTAGCTGTCACATATTCTCACCTGAACACTGATGGCACTGAGGGCTTTCCTGGTGGTCGGGGGTTTGACCACACTAATGGATTCAAGGTTCCAGTCCAAAACTGAGCTGCTGTCTGACCCGAAAGCAGATTCACCGTCCAGAGTATCTGCTGGCTGTGATGTACATGCACAGAATCAGACATTAATACAAAAATATAATCGGACAGAATTTACGATATGGATAGATAGTAACTCTTGCAAAGCATTTTATTTTTGAAGTACTGCAAAAAGAAAAATCTCATTTACTTTCCATGTTCTGGGCATGAAAATGTCTGAATTGTTGAATGCATTTGCGGAAATGTTGTACAGATAGGTGTTGTTATTCCTTTTCATGTAGCACTGTCATCAAGTTTAATTTTCATTGTTAATTATTGTAGTTTAGGTTAGAAAACCTGCAAATTAGCCTCAGCTGTACTCTTTGTTATATCCAGAGGACTACACAGGACAAATGTTAGCATGCAAATGTATGGTAAACATGATACCTACATTAGCATTATCTTTTTGAGCATGTGAGAATGATGATATCCTCATAGAGAGCCATAACTAGAGTTGGAAACCTTTACTATCAAAAGAGCCAAACGTATTTACAACATTAAACATATTTCATCATTCAGCATGTCAAAGTGTCTTTGGTCAAGATAGTTAGCTCTTAATTGCTTTGATAGTGTTGAGATCTCCATAGTATGTTGAATACTTAAAACGAAAGTTAGTTAGCCCAGACCCACGGGCGTACCGCGACCAAAATACGTTTCCTGTCAGACTACCGTTTGGACAGAGAGCAACAAGCAGGTGGTATAATGTCTGAGACCCTACCTCCACCCTACAGGGATAAAAGCTCAAAAAATGCCATTTATGAGTATCCCATCTACTACTCCTAGAAGAAAACACATTGTTAGACATGATATTCAGGGAAAAGGAATGTTGGAAATAATAATGTCAAATATTGAAAATCTTAAACTGGATCAACAAACCATGTTAGTGAACCCTGCTAATAGGAAGCTAAAACATGCAGGAGAAATAGCAGTAGCTCTGGCAAAGAGAATAGGTCCTAGCATGAAAGCACAGAGTGATAATATGATAAGGACTATTAAACTGTCAGAAGGCAATGTGGTGATCAGATGACCCACAAATACCGGTTGTTTTGCATGTACTTTTAAGAAAAAACCTATGTGGGAACTATCAGCAGATATCAAGCCCCAAAAATATCTTCAAAACTAATCTGAGAAAGTTTTTTGCGAAGCTAAAGCTCAAATACTTTACCAAAATCAACTAAACTATTTGCTCTTGACCCCTTTTTGGAAATGGGATTTTCCGTTACACAACAGAAGACTCAATTCAGGCCTTAAAGAATGCTTTAAAGACAAGTCAGGGAGAGTTAAATGTGGTGCTATTTTGCTCATGAAGGAGAATACACTTTTGGACAAAATCTCCCCCTTTCTCTGCTCCTAAGGTGCTGCAGAAAAACGCAGCACACGGGGTCAGAGACAGGCGTGACCTCTGGAGGGGAAGAAAATCTGAGCAGACCACGGAGCGACCCATTAAAAGTTTTATGGCCTCAGCACAGAGAGGAAGATCTGGAGATTGTAAGGAACTCCCCCAGAGCAGGCTACACACCCCCACCCAGCACAGGGGAAATAGTGTTCCTCTCACCAATGAACAAATCAACTCTTAACCAAATCGGATCTAAAATAGACATAGCTCCAGTTGTTAAGAAAAGAGGGAGATTCAAAAAATTATCTTAACACCAGAACAAAAATATCAATATCAAAAAACAAAAGAGTAGGTTGTGACCCATTCTCAGAAACTAACAATGCGAGATATGGAGAAACCTCAGGAAGTAAGCCACAAAGGGAAACAAGGACACCTTTACAGGAAACCGCTGCTCCAAAGATAACACTGTTGACAGAGGGGAGTTTGCGAAAAGGTGACCAAGCAGCCACTTGGGCCTTTATAATGAAAACGAATTCAGGTGAAGTACTTTGCAAGCAAAAGGGTGCAATACCGGGTACAGTACAGACTGCTGAGGAAAAGGCCATTGTTGAGGGACTTCTTTTTGCTAAAAAAGGTAAAATAACACACATCTGTATTGTTACTGATAGTGATTATTGTTACAAAGCGGGTAAAGAAGAGCTTAATAATTGGGAACAAAGGCAGTTTACCAATGTGAAAGGTGAAGCGCTGACACATGCCCATCAAGTGAGGGTCTTATTGCAGAGTTAAAGGCAGGCATGTAGAGTGGAATCATGTCCGTAGCCATACAGATAAGATCGAATTTGACTATCAGGGTAATAGAGAAGTTTTACCTTGCTTAAAGCACGGGACGAGTTAACCACCTGACTGCCATATTCCCTAGAATATGGAAAAAGGGTGGAAGCATTCATGTACTACCTGAAGACGCTCCTCAGGTTGTACTTGAATTACACAGCAGTTTAGGCCATGTGGGCCTATTTCGGATGAGAAAATATTGTCTCCACAATAAAATCCTCTTACCGAAACTGCGATTGCACCTACAACAAACATGGTCAACATGTCTTCAATGTGTAGAGGTGGATGGGTTTAAGAAAGTTCATCCTGAGCATCTTAAAATAATAGAGGAAGAACCACTAACCACTTTTAGTGCTGACATAGCAGGTCCTTTTCTGACCTGCACTCCCAGTGGGAATAAGTATTTCCTTGTGACCTTTGAAAAATGGAGGGAGTCATAAACATGTTTATCCTCTGACCAGAGTAACTGGAACACAGTGTCTGCTAAAATGGCGGAACATATAAGTATTTTTTCCTAAAACTGAGAGAATAGGAATGGATAATGCCACTCACTTTAAAAATGAGAACGTTTTGTCACCCTTGCAGGATAAAGGGAATCACACCTATCTGGTCTTTACCATAGAAGTATCAGGCATTAGAGCAGCCAAAGAGTGGAGTATAAAAACTGTAAAACAAATTGGGACATTCCAATCAATTTGACAAGGCTGAATATATTCCTATGGAAAAGCTACCTAGGGCAAAGGTCAGGTCATATCTAACTATCACACCTTTTCCGTTTAAGTTCAGAAATCGTGTAAGGGTGACCAGAAAGGGGCGAAGTCCAGAGAAGGGTTATCTTAAAACTAAATCAGAAGGTTTGGATACAGTGAAGTCAATCTCTGGGAACTAGTTTCACTCCAGAAGAGAGAACCGGTTCACCCGAGCCAACTGAGTTTAGAATCCAGATAGGAATATGATTGCGGCCTACCCATCCACTATTGATGCTATCAGTCTCACATCACATGACATGTTTTGCACACACACGTGGCAGTTAATGTGCTTTCTTCCACAGGAGAGGATGGCTTTTTGTGGGATCTTCCCGCAAGAAGTTAGAATTTGTCTTGGTAAATTCTGTACCAAGGGATATTCGATAGAGCAAAAGAGGGAATTTAAATCTGAGTAACAAGCAATAGCTCAAATGCAAAGGATTTAGCAGTAGAACTGTTAGAATCTTTAGTGAATTATGCAAAGAAAGATGGCAAGACGAAACTCTGTCTATTAGCATATGGATCATTAGAGCTTGAATGGAGAATACCTCAGTATAAAAGAGAAAATGGGAAATAACCTTTATATTTTTCTCATTGGTTTTTAATTTTACACTATTAGTTTTCTTTTCAGTTATTTTTAATTGTTATATACCTACACCTTACAACAGTATTCATTTAAATTAGACTTTTTTTGAGCACATCTTCCTCCTTCTTTTTTGCTGATTTTCACACAGCATGGAGGTGTAGGGCTGTCAGATCGTTAAACTGATAAGAATCAATTATGGCCCAGTGCTTTCTACCGTTAGAGGCCAACTGAGTAAGAGGAGAATCAATCACCTTGCTGTCTATAGAAATTCCAGAGCAATATGGAATACATGACCCCCTTGAGAAAACCCTTGGGGAAGTTTTTTTTTTTTTAACTGAAACAACTTTTCATGAATCAGAGAAATGATTTATATTACATTACATTACATTGCATTTAGCTGACGCTTTTATCCAAAGCGACTTACAATAAGTGCGTTCGTCCAACAAAATACAACTTGAAGAAAACAGAATCATATAAGTACATCAGGTTTCATAGAGCAAAAACATTTCAAGTGCTACTCAACTGGCTTTAGAAAAGCCAGTCCTTTATTAGTATAAAAGTGCTTCGTTAATAGTTCTATCGCTCGAAGTGGAGTCGAAAGAGATGAGTTTTCAGTTTGTGCCAGAAGATGTGCAAGCTATCTGCCGTCCTGATGTCAATGGGGAGCTCATTCCACCATCCTGGAGCCAGGACAGCAAACCCACGTGTTTTCGCCGTTGGGAACTTGGGTCCCCCTCGCAGCGAGGGCGCAGCGAGTCATTTGGCTGATGCAGAGCGTAGTGCACGCGCTGGGGTGTACGGTTTAACCATGTCCTGGATGTACGAAGGGCCAGATCCATCCATTATACTTGATTTTAGCTATATTGTTGAGATTTATACCTCAGCAATCTACCAAGAGGATTTGAACCTGCCTAGCAGGACAACTTTAGTCACAGTGCCTCAAGTGAAGCCAAGTCCTGGACCCAGGAAACCTGTGCAGCATGGATCAGCGGCTGAGTCACCTGTACCCCTGCTAGTGGAGGATGATGTTTCTTCCAGCTCTGTGGGACAGGCGGCATCTCTACCCGCTGAGCCACTCAGATCGCAGTGGATTTCCCAAAAGGATGACGACTACCTGATAACTGCATGGTCAGATATCAGACGCCAGGTAGCAGCAGCCCTACCTATCCCCTGCCACTGGTCCACTTCACCATCTCCAACCCGGCGACTTCGTGCTGGTCAAGGACTTCCGGAGAAAGAGCTGGAAATCCAACCGTTGGCAAGGTCCCTACGAGGTGCTCTTCATCACCCAGAAAGGTCACCGAGAGAGTCACGTGGGTCCACGCCAGTCACGTGGGTCCACGCCAGTCACGTGGGTCCACGCCACCCACTGCAAGGTCGTAGTCACAGGCCAGGAGAGACGGTAGAAACAGACGACAACAAGTGACGTGCCAAGTCACCACCAGCACCACACTCACACCACATACACCTAATCTCACACTGCACACACAGGATGTCATGAGCGAGTGCCAGCTAAGCTGGTTCATATGCCTCTGGTTCCTCGTTTGTGCTATCATTGTGTGGGGCCTCATTGACCTTGTCACAAAGTCATGAGCGATTATTGACGAGGTCTAAAAAATCCATAACAACTGTCGACCGAGTTATCTGGCTTTCGTTTGGAGATGTCATCCAGGGAGGAACCTCAACCCCTCCATGGTCAGGGTCAAGGATTTACATCAGATAGCAACATGGATTTAGGAGTCTACACTGGAACAACAGATGGGCCTCGCTCCTGCAAGTGCCAGGCAGAGTGGGAGTGCGCACCCAAATCTATGATCATCATGACGGCTCTTGGTTTTGTTTTACTCTTGTGCCTGACCTATGTGATAACGAGAACATTCCAGTGAGGTACCATGTTTTCGGTGTTTTTCACACCAGGTTCATCAAAAGGTCGTCCTGATTACACATACTGAAGAACTTTTCATGATATTGATGCTTGAAGTTTTACGTATGTAATATGTATGTGTTTTTATGATTTTATCTGTTGCTGTTTGATAACTTTGCGTTTTAAAAAGAGGGTGTTGAGATCTCCATATGAAGTGAATACTTAAAACGAAAGTTAATTATAAATCATATATGATCAATCATATTCTTGTATGAACCCATAATGAGAATGCTTCTTGATGGTTTTTGAATATGTATGTATGCTTACAATTTTAGTTGTTGCTGTTTGATAACTTTGCGTTTTAAAAAGAGGGTGTTGAGATCTCCATAGTATGTTGAATACTTAAAATGAAAGTTAGTTATAATCAAATATAATCAATTATATTCTTGTATAACCCACAATGAAAATACTTCATATTTTAGGTTTTTCTATATTTACAGCATAAACAAAACACCAGTGGTTTGTTAAGTTGAGTGTAAGACCTATAAATGATTTATGCCTTACTCTCTGATAAGAGAGTAGGCAGTTTTTTCCCTCTCCTCTCACGAGGGTGCACAGGGAGGGGGGCTCCAGACTTAAGGAGAAACACATTGAGGCCTCAACAAGGAGGTTATGTCATAGCCATAGAAAATGTCTAGTCATGTTTTAGCTTTTTTTACACAAACATGGGAAGGTGTGTCTTAGGCCATAGCCAATAGAAGATGTTGGTTGGGAATAGAGGAGGTGTTTTTTGGGGTTTCGATACGGTTTTTTGAGCATAAAGAGACTGGTTTTTTGAGAGAGCGCGAGAGAGAGGGGGAAACCCCTGGTATACTCTCTCCCGGTAGGCTCTGGCCCTCAGAGCTGGGTAAATAGCTCTCGGTAAGGTTGCCTGGAATGCGTAATTATTACGTGCAGGATCTTAGAACTAATAACTCTAGTTAGACCTACCTGGAATGCGTGATTATTACGTACAGGACCTTAGGACTAATAGCTCTAGTTAGACCTACCTGGAATGCGTGATTATTACGTACAGGACCTTAGGACTAATAGCTCTAGTTAGACCTACCTGGAATGCGTGATTATTACGTACAGGACCTTAGGACTAATAGCTCTAGTTAGACCTACCTGGAATGCGTGATTATTACGTACAGGACCTTAGGACTAATAATTCTAGTTAGACCTACCTGGAATGCGTGATTATTACGTACAGGACCTTAGAACTAATAACTCGTTAGATATACCTGGAATGCGTTATTTATACGTACAGGACCTTAGGACTAATAACTCTAGTTAGATATACCTGGAATGCGTTATTTATACGTACAGGACCTTAGGACTAATAATTCTAGTTAGATATACCTGGAATGCGTTATTTATACGTACAGGACCTTAGGACTAATAACTCTAGTTAGATATACCTGGAATGCGTTATTTATACGTACAGGACCTTAGGACTAATAATTCTAGTTAGACCTTGGAAAGTTGAGAAATATGAATTAAGGTTTTAGATAAAAAATATAACCCCAGCATGATATGTTTCGTATGATTATAATGTGTTAAAGAGAGAAGGTAAAAACCCTGTATTAGTTTGGACCTATTTTTCTTCAAATAAACTGATCTTACTTGTTGGATTGGGACAACTAAAAGAAAATCTGTGCTCTCCTCTCCTGCTTCAAAGGTAAGACTGCACCCTGCCACACTCACACTTAGGTAGGAACACACTCCATTTACTGATATCAAAATCCTTTGGGATCCCTTAAACAGATTAAAAAAGAGTTGTCTGAATAGAAACAGCAGTTAATTGAACCTGGTTCTTCGGGGAGTTAATAGAGGTGAGATCTTGCTGACGTTGGTGGATCTGAGCCAAGCAGTAAACTTACATAGACTCAATAACTTCGGTCAGGTCAATTAGTAGGTCAGAGTAATTTACCGGAATAAATTATCAGGACCTCACCGACTCTAAACAATAGGCATATGGTATTGAAGTGTATGTAGGTCGTGGATTGATTTTGGTAGCAATTACTACAACTAGTATTAGTAGTAGTAGAAACTATTAACTAAAACAGTTAAGTTATTAGATATTTTTCCACTAGAAAATATCACAAACCCTTTATCTAGACTAAAACACATATTGCTGCAGTATTGATGGGCATGTTGTGTCTCTTATTGTCTTACATCAGTGTCAGAGTTGTGTTCATTCATGCTGTCATGGTTGTCCTTCTTCCCTGTCTTCTCCTCCCTCCTGTCCTCTTCTTCTAGACTTTTGACCTCCTGCTCTGAGTCGTAGCCTCCGTGTGATCCTCTGAGTGTGGACAGGCCGCTGTCCGTGTAGACTTCAGGCAGGCTGTCTTCCTCACACTCACTGCTGTCTCTGCGCCTCAGGCCCGGGTCACACATAGCCAATGCCAGAGTGTCACAGCTGGGCCGGCGGCTGTACACAGGAGGGAAATCCTCCATACGCTGGCTGAACCTGGGGAAGAGGTCAGGAGATTATGTGAATCCAAACATCTATTTCTGCCTTTTACAATTGCTGTGAGTTAAACATATTGGTCCAATCATCAATAGGTTGACTCTTTCTTCAATGCAACTTTTCTGTGTACACATTCATGTGTGCTAGGAGAAAATCATATTTTATTGATATTTGAAACTCTGTATTTGAGATATATCCATTCCTATAGATTAAAATATGTTAAGCTTGTTCTTAAAAAAATAACCCTGAAGCTGCTAATCATCCTTAATCTACTGTACTGTATAACATCTAAACTTCAATATGCAACCGAGTAAATGAAATGTAAAGTGTTCATCAACCAAACCTGTTTTCAAAAAGAAGAATATAATTTCATATATACTCAAAAAGAAGTACTCACACACAAGGTCAGAAGATTTGGTGATACTTAAAATGATATAAATTGAGACTGCTTAAAGAGGGCTTTCTAAATCTGGCAGAGTTAGTTATTTCACTCTAGTTCAAGCAAACATAAGCAATTCCCTCTGAGCCTATGAGGTACAAAATGAAAGCAGAGCAGGTGTTATTGCTGCCTGATTTGGCACCCCATGTGTAACTTTGGACCAGGATAGTCATCATCTCATCAAAATCACACTGGTGGTTGTTATTCCATTCTAGTTTAAGCAAACAAGAGCATTTTACTCAATCAGGTGAAATATTCTAAATGTGTAATCCTCCTCATTGTTTGCAGGTCTTACCGATCCATTAGTGCATAGGGTGATGTGAAGCAGATGCTTTTACTTCTTGCTCTGTCCTTCATTTCTCCTGGTGATCCAGCGTTACCAGACTGTAACACACAACAATTAAAAATAAGCTTTCCGTTGTGTCATAGCTTCCTGACATTGACAATGTCAAAACAACAATGTTTGGCTTGTTGTTCCAATTAATGCTCATTTTTAATGTATTCATTATATAATAGGGTTTAACCATCAGAATGCCACGGTTTCCTCTTTGTCTTTCAGTAAATACAAATTAGAAATGCATTACCAAATATATTACACTGCAATACAACTTCAATGTCTTGCAAAAAACCCTAACATTGTAAAGCAAAAATAGCCAAAGTGAATCACATTTATGGTTAAATTACCAAAAACTGAACTGAATATTTATATAGATAATCATCACAATATCCAACCCAATATGTTAAATAAGCTTTTGAATTTCTATTCTCTTTTCGATGAACTATGGAGTGTTACCCGGTTGCTCCTCTCCAGGGTGGATCTCAGGCCATCGTTGTTATCATGCAGCTTCCTGTTGGCTGACCTATCCACACAGAAAGAACAAAAATCATTATTGGATTAACTTTTATTCGCCAATACACCGTATTTTTCCTTTAGAATCTGTGTAAATTCTTGGTGCAGTTTCTGATTTACTGCAGAATCTCAATCTGGCTCTCCAGGATGTCCCGCTCGTCAGCGAAGTGTTTCATGAGCTCCTCATCGCTGCAACAAAACACAACAGGTGTTAATTATTATGAATCAAACAAAGGAGAACAATCAAAGTGATGACAACCTGAAATAGTGTCAGTCTAAGGCCCCGGCCACACGAGGACGAAACCGGCTAAACGCATAGGATTAACGCAAACGCAATCGCAAAAAAGCTTCCGTCCACACGCAATATTCACCGGATAGTGTCTGTCCACACGAGACCGCTCCGTTTAGCTCCAACCGCTGGAGAAGCTGCAGTACATATGCAAGAGCCTGTACGTGGCGCTGTAACTTCCTCCACAAAGGCAGCGAAGAAGCATGGTTGTCATGGTTGCCCTTCTGTTTATTCTCCGCGGTGGGGGCCGAGGGAACCGGGCAGAGTTTTTCGCCAGTCAACGTGTATTAAAGTTTAAATTTTCCGGACAAAATTATAAAAGTGCCGGTCAAAGGTCTTCTTTGTTATTTATTGAGCTTTAAAACAAATGAATAACGACTCTATATAATATAATAATAAAATACATGGAGCCTCTCTTTTTCCTCCCTCTCTTCAGACAGCGTCACTAGGCTTGTTTGAGACGCATTGCGGCTCGCCTCGAAAGTAGACGAGAGTAGCCGATCGCAGCCGGGGGAGGTCTCAAAAAGCTCGCCTGAAGTCGGACAGCTACGAGTCGGCTTCTTCTTCATCATCTTCTTCTTCACCTTCTTCTTCTTCTTCTCTCGGTTTTTTGGCGGATTGCAAACAACTTTAAGGTGCATACCGCCACCTCCGGAGTCGGCTTGACTCGGTTTGCATTTATAAAGAATGCACACATGTGTTTAATCGTTAATGTCAGATATGTACTAAGTAAATACATTTGTTCCTGCTCAAGATTAGATTCAACTTTATTGTTATTGCACATATTACAGGTACTGAGACAACGAAATGCAGTTTAGCTTCTAACCAGGAGCAACAAGCAGTAAAGTGAAAAGTAATGTACACAATCTACAGAATAAAATATAGAATTAATTGAATGATGAATAAACAGTGAGGGGTATGAATACACTAGATATCTGCCTGTGAGCAGTATGAACAGTGTGTATGAATATGCTAAGATATATAAAGTATGGAAACGGTAAGCAGTGCAAGTATAGTATAAAATATATGGATATTAATTTCATTATGATAAACATTGTGGAACAATGATGAAAAATGGGAATGGATGTGGCGACGTAAAACTGACACAAAACAACAACAAACTTTTGCCGAGCCAATTGGAGAGTTTCATCACCAGCACGTGGTAAAAACCACCAATGAGCGCTCAGCTCGAGATACCAGCGAGTCGTTTCCCATCAAGCATTTAGCTTCCGCAGCCCGTGGAGAGGAACTGCGCAGCCTCGCCGCGCCTCGCTCTCAAGGCTGCGGGCGTCTTTGTCCCGCAAGATTTCAACGTCTCATGTAGGCGGGCCTCCAGAGCAAGTCGGACAAAATGACTAACCATCATGCAACGCACTAGCAAGACGTTAATCGCAACTGCGCAGGTCTGCGCAGGTCTCGCTTGTCTCAAACAAGCCTAGTGTCTGTTTCATGCAGCAGCTGATCCAGTAATGAGTGACCCGGCCCGACAGTAAAAATAAACATATTTATAACTAGTTTAGGTAGTTTGAGAGGTGTCTCCGTCCTGTCAGATTAGACTTCACTCGCGTTTATGTCCATATCGAGAGAAAGATAAATAATCTGAATTCAGTGTGCAGTTTACTTTGACGCGGGGGTGAGCAGCAGAGGTGGGGAGAGGCGGGGCTATTGCCTCATCATTATCAGAAAATGACCGTATAGGGCGTACACACGGAGCCGTTTGACCCCCCAGAGCGTTGCGTATGCCGTTCTATCCACCTTGGGACCCGTTATCGTTTCCGCAGTCGTTTAGTGCTGTATTCGGTCGTCCTCGTGTGGCCGAATGGTCTATATGACACTAAACAGTAACGCAAACGACCGTTTTCGTCCTCGTGTGGCCGGGGCCTAAATGTATTTGTTCCTTTCTCAAAGGACACCATATGCAAAATCAATGACTATAACAACTGTTAATAAAAAGGAGATATATTTCCCTGCATCCCAATTAATATCAGTACACCCAGAGATTGTATTGACGTCAGATCAACTGATTCACTTTAAGACATCACAGCTATTTTATGATCATCAGGTCATGTTGTTTCTGTTGCTTAGTAACGCTGCTGAAGAAGTTACTGTGTGTGTGAAGTCACTCCAGGATATCCTGTTTCAGCTGTGACGAAATGAAAACACCCCCGGGAACCTGTCTGTCAGTCAGAGGGAGCGAGGCCTCTGTCTTTCTCTGTCTCTCTGCAGCAAATGGTCTCAATGGTGGGGTTGTTTGATTAGCAGACTGGGGCCGCATTGATTTACTTTATTCTTCCAAATCGAAGACATTTTTTAATTCAAAATAGGTTTGAAACGTACGTAAGTTTGAGTTGTTCTTTTGGTGGAGAACAGGTTGCAAATATAAAATATTCTTAAATTCAGATAAATCTACAAGTGAGGAAAGAAGAAAGTAGAAAAAACCTGTTCTGCAACTCAGTAATTATTGGTTTAGAGTTGACATAGTAGGAAAAGAGTGTCTATGTGTGAGGATTAATGCAGTATTATGTAACAATCCTTTTTCTTTCTCACTATGAGAAAGAAAAAAATGTGTCCCAAATGGGAACTAAAACAAAAAAACAAACTTGAAACTAAAATCAAAATGACTTAAGATAAATACAGTCAAATAACCCCAACATGTATTTACTGTTCAGAGCTGATGCTTTGGTCTGTGAGCTCCGTCTTCAGAGAGTCCATTTCACTGCGCAGACAGGCCACTTTGGTCTGAGACTTCAACAACTCTTGTTTTAAACACTGGTTCTCCTGAACACAAATGTAAGGGTGTTAGTGAAAAGTGGAAAGAGAAATGGCTCATACAGAAATCAGTGACATTAAAGACATTATTTTAAGTGCACTCAGTAGTCTCACCAGGGTCAGCTCATTGATCTTCTTCTTCAGCGCTGGACTCTCGTCCTTCACCGTGATGTTCTTGTATTTCTCCTCGATCTGATGGACAAGTTCACATATTTAGGATTGAGATTATCTAACTTTCAGATGTACCTAAATGTCGATGCCCTCACGCTGTTGCTGTTGTAACAGCATGTACTGTACACATTTATTCACACTATCATGGTCATTTTGAAGTTCCTATCAGTGGAGTACAGCTGACATTTAATGATGTTAGGATTTCTTGAAGTCAAAGGGAAGAAATTCGTCTTGGTGTTTAGTGAATGCAGTCACTGTTGTTCCTAAAATAACCTCTCTTAACCCGCTGTTAAGCAGAACAGTGTTTTTACCAAACATAAGATAACCTTTAATAAGCTGTTAGTTTGCATCTAAATGCAGTCCTTGTAACGAAGCCTGACTCATTTCATCGGGACACTTCAACAGTACACCTTTGTATTTCTAAAACGTTGTATAACTTGTTTTAAATGTTTCAGACTTCATCTGAAGTAATGTATAGTTTAATGGTTGCCCTACTTAGCTCTGATCCGATGCCTTATTCTTGTGCACTACAAAGTTAAAGGTTAATTAAGTTGGAAATAAATAATTGAATGCAAATCTTAATCATCTGCTGGACAGACACCTTATCCTTAGATGTAAAAAAACTCATCCACCTTTACTCACTTTAGTTAGAAAAAATTAAATAATAATTTAGGGGCTTCCCAAAGACTTTAAAACAAATATTGAACGTTAATTTACCATAGAGCATATTAAAGAGAAACTGCCAGCTGCTCCATTGCCCTGCTCGTATTTTTCTGAAAGCGTACTACTTTCTTAAACATCTTGTATTTTTCTTTTTTTATTAATGTGGTATTTTGTTTGTATGTTTTTTATTTATTTGTGTGTAGATAACTTATCACTGGATGTCATACGGTGTTGTTCAACTGTTGAAAAATCACAATAAAAAAGCTTAATTTATGTGAACAGTCAATTCATATTAATATGATGCTGGAGTCTCTATTGACCTGCATGTGGTGCGGTGCAGTACAAATGAAATGCAGTCAGAAAGCTGAGAGATTTACCATCTGCATCCTCTGGATCTTACACTGCAGCTCACACACTTCAGTTTCATAACTTCTGCGCAGCTCACTCAGTGCAGCCTCTGTTCGTTTTTTCTCCTACATAAAGACACATATAAACAAAAACACACATGAGATATTAACTGATTAACCAAAACAACAGTGTGTGTGTGTATGTATGTATGTATGTATGTATGTATGTATGTGTGTGTGTGTGTGTGTGTGTGTGTGTGTGTGTGTGTGTGTGTGTGTGTGTGTGTGTGTGTGTGTGTGTGTGTGTGTGTGTGTGCGTGCGTGCGTGTTTGCTTTCTCTCCAGTTATGTAATTCTTGTGACTATTTCAAGGCAGGTTTTGAACCATAACAGAGGCTGCTGGGGAATTGCATCAGCAATCAGCAACTTTCTACAGTATCTACAGTTTCCAAAAATATAAGTCTGTCAAGTGTTACAGCATGGCCCAAAACAAACAGCAGCTCCTGGGTTAGCTGAGTCAGTGAGGTACATTTACACAAGTTTAAACACACACACGGTGATAAGAGTTTATGAGTTTACAGAGTTTATGTTCACGCACAAGCTTTAAAGAAACATCAGGATCAAAGACAGGATGAAAGACTACAAACAAGTTAAATAAATAATTGTACTTTTCATATTATGTAGTGGAAAGCTAAATATTGTTATCAAATCTTATCATTTCACACGCCGCACGGTTTGATGTGTTTCACCAGATTCCAGGAAATGTCTAACGCTTTCATAACACTGACCATCCAGCATCATATCATTCCAGGAAAAAAGATTCGTGTTGACCATGGCCAGGAGCACTCAGAGACGTTCTCAAAGCGTCGCGGCCAGTCCTGAATTTGCAGACAATCTTTTTCGATGATAATTTGTATTTCCACACAACCAAGCCATATCGTCACAAGTATAAACAGCCTTATCATTGTAAACACTGGAGGCTAAAACATTCTCCAGCACCTCAATATATCCACTGTTTCATCTCTGGCATCCAAAGAGTTATTTATACTCCTGATTAGCAGGCAGGTCTTATAATGTAATGAGTAATCTGACAGCCGCGTACGTTTGTTTGACATGAGGGAAGAGCTGAGCAAACGCATCCGCCCTATGACTTTTACCTACCGAAACTACAAAGAAACAAACACATGAGCCAGATATTTATAAAGAACATCAAAATACATCTTTTTTTGACGTCTTATCTCCAGGTTTTTCCTACCTGCTCTTGCGTTTTTCTCTCAGCAGCATGAATGCGTTGGTCCATCTCATCCTCCATTTCACTGAGCTGCATTGAGGCTTGGTCCTGCGCTCTACAAAACAGTAACAGGATAATCTCATCATCGATTCAATATATACTGCACACTGACACTTCCTACATCCTAAAAACGTAATGAAAATATCTTGCTCCAATTAATATGTCATATACAGTATAGGTAGATCTACACATTTGTGAAAGCTGCAGCTCCAACAATACTCAAACTATACTGTTAAATGTAATTGTTTTTAAATCACTTTTTTATATTCTGTGTCACTGTGTGTGTCTGAAGATGGAGGGATGACGGGATAACGCATTCTGTGTGTATGTATGTGTGTGTGTGTGTGTGTGTGTGTGTGTGTGTGTGTGTGTGTGTGTGTGTGTGTGTGTGTGTGTGTGTGTGTGTGTGTGTGTGTGTGTGTGTGTGTGTGCGTGTGTGTTTCCCACCGTTTGATGGCAAGTGCCAGGCTCTCCATCTCTGAGTTCTGCTGTCTGATCTCTTTGGTAAAGTTTATGATGACTTTCTCAAACGGGTTTATGAGTCTGGGCTCATTCAGGCTGATGTTCTCGTACAACGTAGCGGCTTGTTCATTCCTGAAACACAATCAGGAACTCACATCAGGTTAATTTTCTAGAACCAAATGTGACACAGTATTGTCGTCGTGGCCCCCCCCCCCCCCCCCAAACAAATGTATGACTTTAAGGAGAATCCAAATGTTTTGCCGTTTCCAACAGGACCCAACATTAATCTCAGTAAAATAATATCTAGTCATATGTTTGATTGAGTAAATCAAAAGTAAAACTGGATTAAGATGGCTGCTGTGAGTTTGTCTCATAATAATGATGTATAAAATATTCTGACATTCTGGGAAATGCGGGTATTTGTTTTTCTTTTGAGAGTAATACGAGTAGATTGTGTCATTGTAAAGCCTAATCACACAATGTAATCCAGAAGTCATCATATGGATACAGAAGTAAGACGTCTTGTGTCATAACTCAATGGTCAACGTGGGTAAAGTAGCATAAATCTACAGCGTGTGTGTTAGCCTCCTGACAGGGCGGACTTAACGACTAAAGCAAATAGACACTGCTGTCTGTCTGTCAATACCCCGCACTTAAACACAATGTGTTGCAACATTATAAACTGAACACAAGAGAAACACACATATACCAGCACAGAGGGGGAAAGTCTTTGTAAGGTTATACTTTATTTTATGTGTTCAGGATTGCTATTGATGTTGTTGAAAAACAGCTCTCTTTCTGAGAAAATCTTGACATCTTGTCTTGAAAATACAGATGTTTTGTTTGTGTAAGTAGCCAGAGGGTTAGAGTCACAAGAACTTAAAGAAACGGCACAGAAATAAGTCAGATTTTGCAAATATAGCAAATAAACTTGGTCATTTATTCTGTTTTTCTCCCTTTGCAACCTTGCCTTGTTTTTATTGTTAGTTATCTGTGGTTACTTCACTCAATAGTTTATTCAATCTCCCCTGAATTCAACAAGAATATGATAAATTGTTCCTCATTGCTTTGGTGTTGCCGATCTATCCGACACATGGGGAGGCTACAAAAAGAGATTCATATTTTTAAACTTTTTGAAGGCAACCTTAGATCTCTAATACTTTCTCAGGTAAATGTTAAAGAGAGAAACGTTTGGAGCCCAGCAGTGTCCAGACCTTGTTTGTGCTCTGCAGTAAAGTGTTGTTCTGTTGCACCTGAGTATCTTTACCTGGGGGCTCACACACTTGGTCACTAAGGGGGCCTATCTATTATCAAAAGGCCAAAATACAGAGAGACATAAAAAGAATATTTAAGACACTCAAAGTCCAAGGCAAAGGGAAATGTAATTTTTCGAAACGTCTTCATGATGAGATGCTTTTTACTTAACACTTAACACACCAGAATATGCTGTAAAAAAAAAGTAGATTTCTAAAAAAGCAATACATTTGAAGCATTTACAAACTTAACTAAATGAGTAGGACATCTTGTGCAGAGCCTAATATTAGTCTCAATCAGACGATTGATTCAATTATGTTAAGCAAAATGCACTCAATATATTAGCCTCAGTCAGCAATAAAGTTATGAAATGTAGTTGATTTTTTATTTTCTTGATGATTACATCTCACTTACAAAAAAAGTTTTCACTCCCTGAAAAAGTAGACATTTGTCTGAAGTGAGATGTTTACCAATGTGTCATCCCTCAGCTGATTTAGCCGACAACACCACTGTGAAAATCAATGTACCCCTGTCACAGCAGCACTGCAGCACGAGGACCAGTCCAGCAGGCCCAGGGCCACATGAACACACACACACACACACACACACACACACACACACACACACACACACACACACACACACACACACACACACACACACACACACACACACACACACACACACACACACACACACACACACACACACACACACACACACAGACACACACACTGAAGTAAAGCATCTTCTTCAACAAAAGAGGCCATTAAGTCAACCATGCAGGCACTTTGTTAGAGTAGAAGAGTTTACATTTACAAAACTTACATTTCATTTAGGAATTATTTTTTCAAAGAACAAGTAATGAAGGTAATTGATGTTGCTAATTGTAATTGCTTTCAGTAAGTGGGAGTTGTGATATAAATAATTTTCAATCATAACAAAAAAACATTGAAACCATCGAAACCATTTGCCCTTAATCAAACACTTAATCAACCACGGGAAGGGGTAACACCAAACTGTATCACAACTGAATCTTAAGAGAAAAACTATCCTTTCATAAAAGAATCAGAAGGCCTCATGGGTGAAAGAACTGAACAGAGAAAGTGCAAAGTTAATACACTGAGGAACACAAAACTCAAAGAAGTACTGTGGCTGGAATCATTTGAAAGAATCTAGAAACCTAAAGACCTGGTGGGGCAAGATCCTTGCAGACCTAGTATGTGACAAATATTCATTATGCTATCTGCAGCACACAAAGGCTTTGTAGGAAATGGCATGTTTGAAAATAGAAGTAAGCTATATTGGGTTTAAATTGTACAATGGTGCTTTAAACAATGAGGTTACAAATAATGTCTCAGTTTAAAAAACAAATTCTATTTCCCAATTAGTTTCACTAAAACCATAATAAAAAAGAAAATCGTTGGATATTGAAACACAAAGAAGGTAATAAATAGTAATAGGTAGAGAACGACAATTATTCTAACAACTATACTGCAATACATCAATGAAGCAGAGTCGATAAAGATATGCAAATACAGTATGTGATGCATTGTGTTGCCAAATGTATAGAGAGGGTTAATGTTAACTGTCTCACTGTGAATTGCCTGCTGTAGTGAAGCTACTGACACAAAGGCTTAATAATAATATATTTAGCAAAGAGGGAGAACATTGTGGAGTCTGGATGTTCTGAAAATAGTAATAAAGTATGTCTAGGTTGAGAATTCATTTATAATGTATTGAATTATTGTTTTTTGTGCTATTAAATGGAATTATGAGCCCTAGTTTTGTGTTTATTTATTATTTTAAAGAGCAGAACAAAGTTTATCAGGGCTGTTTTAATGTGTGACTCTCCAAACAAATAAATGTGCATCCCAGTTGCAAGAACATCCAGGTAAATGTATTTGTTTTGTTTTGGAAAACTGATATGTTTAGTTTGCAATTCATATAAAATAGAAGATCCTGCACCTGCAGGTGTGACTCTCAACACATCTACTTGTTTGTTAAGCTGTGTGACAGCTCACTGTAATATATGGGTCAACATGAGAACTTATTTATCTTTGGGTTGTAATGAGATGCCTTTGGGGAAACAGACACACTCTCCAGACAAACTTAAACGCAGTCACTCACTCTTTTTTCCATGAGCATGCTATTCAAACAACATGGCTACAGTTACCGGGGCCGGTTTTCTAGTGTTGGAGCAGTTTGAAAAAGGCACATTTATCTGATTTTAATGTTGAGCATTTGTGAATTTTCCTGTCGAAGTCATTATGTCATCTTTACCAACACTGAGCCCCACTGTTGAACACATTCATATCATCCAAAGAATTTCCATATTTTAAAAACATCCACCCGTCTGTGCAGTACCTCCCTGCCCGCTCGACAGGTGCTCTCACCTGGGGATGAACTTGGCCTGCTCGCCCAGCCTCCTCTCGAAGTTCTCCCAGGCGGCGGACCCGTCTCCTCCGTCGGACTCCATGTCCTCTCCGTTGCGGTCGTGGAAGCCGCTGATAAACTCTGGCAGGGTGACGGCTCCGTCGTTGTCCACGTCCAATCTGTTAAATATCTGGTCAGCCTCCGCCTGGGACACATGCAGCTCCGCACAGATGTTGAGGAACTCGCCTCTCTTGATCTGCCCGGAGTTATCCAAGTCGTAGGCGTGGAAGAGGGACCGCAGCCGGGACTGCTCCTCCGCGCTCATGCCCCCGGCGGAGGGATGTGGCCGGCAGGAGAACAGAAGGCGTTTCAGTGAATTTATGAGACCCGAGAAAGCCTTCAGTAACGGTCTGCCAACGTTTTATTCTCGGGACACCTGCAAAAAGTAATTCCCGATTTCCAGACCTATCCAAACATTTCGACAGCTGTTATTCATTAACAACAAGTATAATCGAGGTAATCCATTTTAAACTAATTTAACCGCTCAATTAATCAAATGTGGGTCTTCAAAACATAACTCCCCGGGTTGTTGCAGCTCGACAGACAGAAAGCTGCTGTGTGTGACTCAGGTAACACGCCAGCCATTAGTGACTGTTTAGTGTGTGTGTGTGTGTGTGTGTGTGTGTGTGTGTGTGTGTGTGTGTGTGTGTGTGTGTGTGTGTGTGTGTGTGTGTGTGTGTGTGTGTGCGTGTGTGTGCGTGCGTGTGCGTGTGTGTTCTATCTTTCCCTCTCTCTCTCTCTCTCTCTCACCTCAACAATAGTGGAAGTCTGGGCTTCTGGCCAAGTGAAAGTGCTTTCATTGTGGAGAAAGGCTAATAGTCTGTGATGTTGAATAAACTTTAGAAATTATAGTATCAGAGAGTATTCAACCTGTACCATCTCAAGTACATTTCTACCTGAGACGTATGAATACACGTTGACACACACAATCTAGCAAATTGCATGTCCAATAAATATATTTAGCCTACATTTAAATGTAATTAAATGACTTTAAAAGTCACACTACAGATCTCTCTAGTGGCAAGTTTATATGTGATCAGTTAATTAAATTGTGTTCATGTAATCATGTAATATCTTGCAAAACATGACATATACATATATTATATATGTATATATGTATATATGTATTATATATAGATAGGAGAAACACAAGTTTGGCACTCCTGCTTCAAAAATCCACGTACAAAGAACAAACCCCAACCTTCATGTTATGTCATATTATCTGTGATCAATCATTCCTTGCACTGCAGTACATTTTCTTTATTTACATGCATTTAAAAAACAAAACAAAGACATGGCTCAGATATCTCACCTGGGGCCTATACTACGAAGCTGGTTCAACCTAACCTGGATATATTTGAGTTAGCCGGTTGGCCTAATCCAAAACATACGCGCTCTCGCTAAACTGTACTACGACGCGGGTTATCAAGTGGATCGCTCAAGCCAGCCGTGTCCTATCTAGTTAGGTGCGCGTTCACATGAAAGGGGTGGTATTTGGAGCATTCGACCAATCACAAACATGGAGAAGCGTACTGACAGCGCAGCGTCATACTTCCTGAATGAAAAGTGAACTTTAATACTAGTCAAAAATGAAGAAGTTAAACTTTAACATCCATGACTTAAACACTTTATCCAGGATGAAAGCCACATAGTTGCACCTGCAAGGTGAATACAGCTGGCAAAAGAAAAAGTGTTTGAATGCGTACATTAACATGTTTATGATATCACTGCCCCGTCTAAAACACGATTTGACTTTAATTAGGCCTACATTTGTCTCGAGTGTTTCGTCAACTTAATTTGTTGCTTAAAATAATACTTCTGCATACAGTATGTGACACTGTGAGTGTTGCACGGCCAGATACGGCTCAGCTGACTCAGATAAGAAAATATGATACATTATGAAGTGATATGCCGCGGACTGTAGGCCTACTTAATGTTACTCTGATCCGGTTACTTATGTTGTGGCAGATATGTAAGTAAGCTTTCTTAACGCTAATGTTATAATAGTCAGATTGCTCTGAAAATGGAGGTGATATTCTATTCATGTTCACGTTCACACAGTCGGTGATTTTTGCCGGCCGTCTTTCCTGCGACGGCAGCTTTTCTGTACTTCCTTTCTCCTGTAATATGACTTGATCGCTTTAAACTCCGCACACTGAGCTCTGATTGGTCAGCAGGCAGTGCTTTCACTGAGTTGAGCTCTTATCCTGCAACCTAACCTGGTCCCGACCAGGTTAGCCGCTAAGCATAAGTTACCATGGAGATCTAGCCTGCTAAAAAGAGAACCAGCTTCGTAGGACCGGAAAGCCGGAGTTTTCCCTGAATTTAGCCAGCTAAGCGAAAATCCTGCTTCGTAGTATACCCCCCTGGTCCCGACCAGGTTAGCCGCTAAGCATAAGTTACCATGGAGATCTAGCCTGCTAAAAATAGAACCAGCTTCGTAGGACCGGAAAGCCGGAGTTTTCCCTGAATTTAGCCGGCTAAGCGAAAAATCCTGCTTCGTAGTATACCCCCCTGGACACACACCTGTTCCGGATTGTTTTAAAACTCTTCCTCACCTCCTGAGGACTTGTTGTCATCTGCTTGTGTGTCATCATCTTCATCCTCCTGATGTTGTTCTTTGAAGCCACTGATGAACTCCTCTAAGGTGACTGTGCCGTCTTTGTCCACGTTCAGGCGGTTGAATATGACGTCTGCTTCTTGTGATGGGACATGGAGCTCCTGACAGATAGTGGTGAACTCATTTTTTTCTATCCGCCCTGAGTTATCCACGTTGTAGGCGTGAAAAACTGAACTCAGGCGCTTTTGTTCTTCCTCATTCATGGCCCTTGGTGATGCCATAGTTTGTCTTCAATAACCTTGGTTAGAAAAATAACAGTACCAACTGCTGAAAGACTGAATATGTGGACTGATTAGTCCAAATAATCCTTCCACCACTTTTATATAGTCCAACCTCCTCTATCTTTTTATGTTTTTGACACGTGGATAATCCTGACGTAACCACTTTTTTTGGAAGACTAAAAAACGGTGTTACAAATGCTGCTAAAGCCATGACTAAGTGCAGGAAACCCTGCAGGCATTTTTGGATTTTCTTACCTGCATTTGTATGGTATGTTTGTCTTTATATGTGGATAGTTCATCAATTGATTACTTGCATGTGCTGTGTCTGTCCATCCAGTTGTGTGCCGATGTTTGTATGTGAGTCAGGGCAGAGGGTAATCTTTGGGAGATGCAGCACCTTTAACCTAGAGAAACAGACACATGTAGTCAGCAAATAAGAGTGCTATGTTGCTGTTGTTGTTGTTGTTGTTGTTGTTGTTGTTGTCTTTAAAATGATTACAAAGAGGAAGGGTCTGCATGGGCTTCAAAATCATGAACAAGGTACAAGGTGTCAATTTGTATTTACCTTACCTAGTTATTAAACACAGGCATCAATGGCTTATTATTTAGGAGGATATCATCCATTCTGACCACAACACTGTAAAGTTATGTGGGGACAAATATCCCCAAACCTCCACCAAATGTCGGCACATTACAGTGTATCTTAAACTCTGAGTTATTAATAAAGTAACCCCATAAAATTGAAATCTGTAGAAAGTTTCTACACAAAGTGAAAAAGGTCTCCAGCCCACAAGCGGTGAGGGACAGGCTGCTTCAGATTTACAGACACAGACTGCGAGGACGATGTCAACACACAGCTCGGTCAGGTCTGAGTTTTCAATCCTCAGATTCTTCCCTGATGAGAGAAAAGTTTCCTGTTTATGTGTAAACCTGTTTTGGTGATTCATAACTTTGCCTCTGACCTACAGTGTTTATAGAGCGTGTGACGGTGCAAGTCTGGGTTATCTTACTGTATGTTTGTCCAGGGAGTGGTACAGTACACCGACGCAATGGAAGTATTTACACCATGAGAACACACCATGTGCTGTGACACACACAGAAATTGTACTTGGAAATGTTCAGGACATCCCACGTACCTGTGTCCTTACTTTTAAACAGCTAAAAGCTACTTTCTATACCCCCTTATTATTGCTGTGACTTTTTTTTAATCGTGTCTTAAGTATTGTGAGGGTCTAAGGATAGAGGGTGTCGTATTGTCATACTGATATTCTGTACACACTGTGAAGACCACTGAGACAAATGTAACATTTGTGATATTGGGCTATATAAATAAACATTGATATTGGCTGATGCTCATAAACTATTTTTTAAATCTCTTTCTGATTTGTGTGCAGCAGGCGGACTCACAGAGTGTGTGATTGGTGACCTGCAGCTCTGTGAACAGATGTCTGTGAGGCAGCAGAGAAGATGTTTAGTCACACTTCATCAGACCTCACACTACATCAGGCAGAAACCACCAGCGGACACACACAGGGACACCTGCTGGCTTACAGGAGTATAACAACACATTATGACTAAAACAAAAATATATTGAAAATCAAAGCCGTCTCTTTTAAATTCTCTGCTACAAATTCTTATGAAAAACTTCTATGCAATTGGATGTTCATGCATTTGATCAATGTGATCATAATGCATGCAGATTAACAATATTATATGACGAAAAGGGCAAGAATTAAGATTTATTACGCTGTATTTTTCAGTGTGTTTACAATTCCCTGCACCTGTAAGGGTAAACAAAGAGTTACATATCAATATTCTATTAGGCGTTAAGAGTTATGATTTTAAGGCTTGAAATTGAAATAAATGATTAGATGTTATCTAAAAATACTTTCATAAGACCTTTCTGACTCCTCCATCCATCTTTCATCTTTGACACTCGTGACAAACTCTTTAATATAAAACTTAACTCTTTTTGTAACATGCTCCAAAAACAGAAAGTCTTAACCTTAAGATAAGCATAATGAGCACAAGGTTTACTAAGAAAAATTATTAGTAGGCTACAAGTACACACACAGAACTCGTTCTCTAGCTCTACTAAAAATCCCCTTTATCTTATGACTTGCAGCTGTATCCGATTAAGTGTGAAAAGAATTTCAAACAAAGATCCCTTAAATGAAACAGAAGCAAATCTGTGATTAAATGTAGCCGTTCATATGACTTGTTGGTGAATTTGCTATTACATTTCATAAACTTACATTTAATGGAGAAGTAAAACAGTAAGATATTCCAAAATGTTAAAGGTGGGGTAGGTCAGTTTGAGAAACCGGCTCGAGATACACTTTTTGTTATATTCCATGGAATGCTCTTAACATCCCGATAGCAATGAATATCTTAAGTGCTTTGACAAAAAATCCATAAAAAAATGTCATCTGAAGCCGTAGCCCTGTAAAAAGCACGACCAATCATCTGAGCCGGCCCGGCTAAAATAACTGGATGGCCTACCTGCCTGTCAGCCTTCCATCTGTGCACACACTTATCTCGTGCCCTCATTGGTCATGTGCGCGTTCGCGTGTGTTGGAGGAGGGGCTCTGTAAGGAAGTGGCACATTTTTTTATCAAGCTAACGGTCGTGTAAAATGATCCACACATTAGGCGCCTTATTTCAATATATATTCATTAGGGAGCTTTATTGTGGCAGTATTAACATATAAAACAATTCATGTTTTCTGTTATAACATACAAACATTCAAAATGTTCACTTCACAAAGTTCATAAGGCTTGGTTGTCCCAGAAGAGAGGGAGCCATTACTTAGGGTTTTTTTTCTTATTCTTCTCAAATTAAATCTCCCAGAGTTTCTTATTAAAAGAGACTTAATGACAACACAAAATTATAATAAATGATCTGATTGACCGTTAGAAACAAAAAATCATTTGACTAACGTCCAAAAACAACAAAGTGACCGTGCAAGAGAATCTGCTACTGTACATGCCCACACAACACTGAAATAACATAATAAACAACAGCTTATTTTTATCTTGTACCATGTGATGTCCAATAGTTTTGCATATAGTAGACCTGAGTTCAAATATTTAAAATCTTAAATAAATTCATCAAAAGCAGAATGTGTGTAATGGGTTCGAACAGCGTTGAATTCTGAGTGTAGTCTGTAAAGCCTTTAGTTTAATTTCCACTGATAATTAAAGGCAGGTTATTACATTTAAGGTTTGTAAATACTTGACTCATGTCAGGAACTCAGCACTTATACCTCAGATATGACATCAACTGGGGTGTGAACTTAGTGATGTTTTAATCACAGTTTTATGTAAGCACAGGCCACAGAAGTTGTACGCTTGGTCCGTCTATATGCTGTAAAACACAGAAACTCAAGTAGCTCAAAACAAGAGCTGAATCTCAAAGGAGTACAATTCCCCTTTAAACTCATTAAACTGAAAACATGAGCTACAAACTAATCAAATGCTACGGTGTCATGTGGCCAAAGATCTGTTTTTATCACAGAAAGAACTTTTGTTGTTTGCAATGAGTTTAGGTTGAAAGTGAACATCTTTACAAGTAATGATTTAAAATGAATTCAATTGATTCAGTTAATAGCATGCTCCGTTAGCAATGAGGTGCAGGTGTTAGCATTTAGCTTCTGACTAAAATGATTTACGCACACAGCAAAAGCACAATTAACAAACTAGTCAAATATTTTAGATCTGCTCTTTAAGAGATGGTAACAAATGTTTTCCAAGCAAACAGCATTTTTGTGCTGAGACACATTTTTTTGGGTTGATTAACTGAGAGGAAGCTAACAGAATAAGCAACCACATGTATTCAGTCTTGTCAATTCAATTGTTAAAATGAAGAAAAACCACACTGCATGACGTGTTTTGGTTTTTTAAATGAGGTCACAACATTTTTAAAATGACCTCCTTTCAGTAAAACAGAGAGAACATGCATTTGTCTACGATGGTCAAGACAGCCAAGCCTAAATCTAGATCGCTTTATATATGGACAAGACACGCAGAGGGAAGAAAGAGAGGATTATTTTTTGCCACAACTATAAACACAGTATTTACAGATGAAGGCATGCCGTTTACATTGAGAGGTCAGAGTGAGATACCCTGGGTTAGCTGTGTGATGATGAAGCACAGAAATAAAGGACCAAAGCCAGAACGCCATGTTTATACAGCTGTGTACATGAAGCCTATACAGAAGAACTTCTATTTAAAATCTACTGGGAATATCTCAAGCATTTTGGTGCATGTGCATAGCGGATGAGCAATAGTTAAATATGAAGACGGGATGATAGTTCACGATGCTATCCCACTTTGTTAGTTATCATGGGATGGTGGTATTATTTAGCAGTGCATTCAGATCAGCTTCACCCACTACAGTGAAACTCAGAGCCTGTGATGTTTAAATGCAAAATGTGGTCTTGATAGTGGTTTGGCCCTTTGCTTGGTTTCAGTAGTGATACTCCGTGAATATGCTATAATAGGAAAATAAATACTTTGTCCCAAGTTAGCTTGTTTCTGTTGTTACTGCATATTATCTATATGCATAAAGCTTGTTGATTCATAAGGTTCACACTGCTACACAACAATTATGATTTTATGATATACTTTATTAATCCCCGTGGGGAAACTGTTTCTCTGCATTTGACCCATCCTAGTGTTAGGAGCAGTGTGCTGCCATTTTGAACGGCGCCCGGGGAGCAGTGTGGGGAACGGTGCCTTGCTCAGGGACACCTCGGTAGCACTTGGTCTTGCCGGGACTTGAACTGGTGACAGCTGATCATATGAGGCAGAGATATTGTTTGGGTTCAAATGAGAGGCTTTTGATGGTGATGTGCACTGCAGAGGCCTCTGTAGCAGTTGAGATTGTGGAGATATTCTGAAAATAAAAGTATGAGTTCAGCTTTTTAAGAGCCTCAAACAGTGTCAGAGAGTTTTGAGAAAGAGATCAAGACTCATGTTGCTACTCCTGTTTTGATCAGCTTAAATGAATAGATAAAGCAGTACAGAGCTTCAGCTATGATGGTCAAACTGCAGGTACCGGCTCTCAACAGTAAATACTTTTTAGGTAATATGTTTGGATGCATATGACATGGAGTGTAGTGTTGCTACAATAACACAGACAATCTGCAGCTGTATTTATGTCTAGCTCCAGACTTGGTAAAAAGACATAGTGTTTATATATTCAAAATAGCATAATGCAAGAAGACATGTACTGTATGAATGCTAGGCATAAACTATGCTGTAATTAGATGTGTTTTTCCTTTCTTTTTTAGACATATAATGGTTATTTTGAACATAAACTGCTAATTCCCTTTCCTGAGAAATTTAATTCAAATTGAACTACATTTCAAACAGAACTTTTTTTTCCTTTTTTTTTGCATCTGTTTTCATTTGATCTGAAGTAACTCTCATCGCTGTAACTCTCTGTTTCTTCTCCATGCAGAGCCAGGACACTGTTACTGACAGGCACTGTCGGATTGAAACAAAACCACTAGTACAGCCTTTAGTTCCCAAAATTGAAGTTTCTACTTTTAGACATTTTAAAATAAAACCTTTGCAGTATCTTTGATGGCGCTGCTCCTTCACACAGAAACACCCTTGTGTGTGAACACATCTGTCGTCAAAACCAGAATCTTATTCTTCAAACATCTTGTTCAAACATTCTCCCCATCTAAAACTTGTTAGTGACTCACACCAAAATGATAGAAATGTATGTATTCTGTTTAAGGGTATAAACAGTTGCGGTCATTTAAATTATGCTCAGCATGATGTTCTCACAGATCTTCTTTAATAATGGCTACAAATCATCTCTAATTTGATTTAGTGATTAAAATACTTAAATTAAATACCTGCCACTGTAGTACTGCACAAGATTGACACCATCAGTTTTCCAATCATGTGTCACATATGAGCAGTATATTTGGAATACACAAACATTTTCCTCTGGGAATCTTAAGTGTACCATCATCACTTTGAATCTGAGACGATCACAGAGCTGTCCTAACAGTAGCCTCCCATGGACTGAACAAATGACCCCAAATCTCGATTCGACCCACCTTTACTCACACATAACTTTTCATCACAAGCCTACAGGTCACCTTGTCCTTCTTTAGCATTTTTTAAATACTTTTATGTTCAAACTGACTTAAAACACACTGAGAGATGCACTACTACTGACTTAACATGTAGTTCAGAAGACATTTAAAAGTTCAACAAAACACAAGTTTTATCATGATGATGAACAGAAGGTTTCTCTCCTCTGTTGCCCTCCCATTTCCAAAATGACATCACGTAATCTGAAACAGTTTTAATCTGTGATCTGTGTAAAAGATTTGTGCTATAGCCTCTGTAGGAAAACTCCAGGGAGCTACGGAGGCAACAAATGCTGACAGTGCTCTTAAAAAATATCTTAAATGTATCAACGCCCATCACCCCGATAAACTTTAATAAATGTGTTTGTTTTCTTACTCTTTTATAAAGTCTTAATTTCAAAATAAGCTCAAAGTAGATCCTCTGACTGAAAAATTCCTGAAAGGTCTGGATCACATAAAAATGTACAAAATGTTAAAAACAACTTATTTAAGATTGGTTTTATATTATCAATATTACTCTTTTGTTTTTAAATATATATATAAGGTACCTCTGACTGTGGCTTTTGTTGCGTTCAGTGACAAATCAATAATTTCTCTCCCCGTCCACTCCGTCATGACTGACAGGCTCGGTGACCAATCAGGTGTTCCATTCTGAGGGTGAGAACCAATCAGAATGATTTGTCATATTTACCAGAGTCATTGCATCAGCTAGTCAGCATCAGGAGTGAACAGACCTTTAAAAATAGTACCAACCATTTGTATCCTGCATGCTTCTCTGGATCTTTTTGTGAGTTTATCTGTCCATCACTTCCCTTATTTTTATTTTCATAAAAGTCTCCCTTTTGCACGTTTGTCTTTGAAAACTTGCTGCATTTCTTGTCCTTTATTTTCTGTTTATCACTGCCAAAAGTGTCTTAACAAGTGACTGGATCCCAAATGTTAGTTTTTTGTTTCTTTTTTGTTCAATAAACTTAATTATGCTGCGAAAGGGGTGAAACAAATCTACTTGTTTCTGTATTATTCAATTTGAAAACAATGTATTATAAAAGGCATGACAGCACATCTTTATCAGGCCTTTTTACAAGACAACCTACTGGAATTGTGTGAGCCCTCATCAAAGATCCATTGCACCTGCTCAAAAAATAGGTCTGAAACAAGTGAAATCATTTCATCCATTTGGCAGACTGGTTCAGTTGTTGTAACTGAATTTAAGATTAAATGACATGTTAAGACAGACATGTGGGCACATGTGTTTCCCCCGGCAGTGACTCCTCTAGCTCCTCAGTCTGACCACAGGTTCTCCATGGCCATGCTGATCCTGCACAGGATCCAGCGCCGGAGTGGGCAGTAGTACTCGTAGTGAAATTGCTCAAACTCCGGCGTCTGGCGGATCTCATGGAGGAACGACACGTCAATGTCAGACTCCAGCAGCAGCAGCAGAGTGGGCACAGTGACAAGCAGCACGCCCATGACAACGGCAACAAAGCGGGCTACGCTCAGCATGCAAGCATTGACTCTCTCATTGGACGACAGTAGGCGCAGGCTGCTGGTCAGGACCCCCCCCATCTGACTCCTAGTAGCCAGACGGGTGCGCTCATAGGCCCGGTCCCGCTCCCTGTCGGCCTCCAGCTGGGCCTGGATGTCGGGGTCTGCATGGAGCTCCCTCAGCATCCGGGCGGGGCTCTGCACCGGGGAGGAGAAGAGCAGGTCCACCCCTCCCTGACTGTCCTCCACTGGAGTGGGCAGCATGCTGGCACAAGGGCTGCATGGGGAGGGGAGATATTTGAAGAAAAAACAATGTTATTGTAAGTAGGATTGAACCAGGGCCAAACAAGAAGAATAGGGGAAGTTTAAAAAATTGTGATTTCGGAGCTGGCCTTTTTTTGTTGTTGCAATAACAAAGGTAGGTTTTAAATCGTAAGCGAGACAAGCACACATATACTGTACTGTACATGTTGCTACATACATGCCAGAATCAAAAAACATTGCGAAGCAAGTAAGGCCAAACATCCGGGATATATGAAGAGATGCCAACCACTTTTGTGCTTTGTTTCAAATTCAAACTTGAGGAATGCAATCTGTTCATAGCTGTGGTGTTTATATGTTGTACACAGCATGTACCTGAAATGCAACATATCTAGTGTGACTCACTGTTTATCTATTAAAAGGGGGTATTTGTATTAACTCTTCCATCTAACTATTTATTCCTGCTTCAGCCAAAAACGATGGTTATGGAGGCAGTTAAAAACAATGAGCTGAAAGAGAAGACTCATATTTCATTATAGCTACACAAATTCTATAGACCTGTAGGCAAGCTCAGAAATGGTCAGTGGTCCGCTGGCGTCATCGTCTTCCTCCACTTCATCTTCAGCTTTGGGCGTGTGAGGTCGGTGATTTGAGGTTTCCATGGAAACACGGGGAGGCTGCAGGTAATTTCTTCTCTCAGTACTTTGCTGCTCTGCGTCTGGTGGAGCAGGTGAGGGTTCGAGAGGAGACAACAGGACAGAGTCCTTCACAGCAACAACAGCTGAGGAGGGAAAAACAAACAGGTCTTACATTACATCCATCCATCTTCTCCCGCTTATTACATTTATACAAAAATCAGTTTGGAGGTAACTTGCGAATGTAGACTCCCAACAAGTTTTCCCATGAGAAAGCAACATGAAATTGCATTCATCACAATAGTCAGACTGAAGAACATTCATACAACTGCTAATGTTTTTATATACATATTTATTTATATATATATAAGTCTTATTTTATCTTTTATCCATCTATCCATCCATCTTCTCCCGCTTATCCGTGGTCGGGTCGCGGGGGTAGCAGTTCCAGTAGAGAGCCCCAAACTTTCTTTTCCCTGGCCACATCAACCAGCTCTGACTGTTGGATCCCAAGGCGCTCCCAGGCCTGCGAAGAGATATAATCCCTCCACCTGGTCCTAGGTCTACCCCTTGGTCTCTTCCCAGCTGGACGTGCCTGGAACACCTCCCTAGGGAGGCACCCAGGTGGCATCCTTACTAGGTGCCTGAACCACCTCAACTGGCTCCTTTCGACGCGAAGGAGGAGCGGCTCAACTCCGAGTCCCTCCCGGATGACTGAACTTCTCACCTTATCCCTAAGGGAGACACCAGCCACCCTGCGGAGAAAACCCATCTCGGCCGCTTGTATCCACGATCTCGTTCTTTCGGTCATGACCCATCCTTCATGACCATAGGTGAGGGTAGGAACGAAAATGGCCCGGTAGAAAGAGAGCTTTGCCTTCTGGCTCAGCTCTCTTTTCCAGTGAGTGCTGAAGGTCGTAGACCGATGAAGCCATTAGAACCACATCATCTGCAAAAAGCAGTGGTGCAATCCTTAGTCCACCGAACTGCAGACCCCCTCTCCCACGACTACGCCTCGAAATCCGATCCATGTATATTACAAACAGGATTGGTGACAAAGCGCAGCCCTGGCGGAGGCCAACCCTCACCGGAAATGGGTCCGACTTACTGCCGAGGACCCGGACAAGCTCTCGCTTTGGGAGTACAGAGATTGGATGGCCCTGAGTAGAGACCCCCTCACCCCATACTCCCGCAGCACCTCCAACAGTAACTCCCTGGGAACTCGGTCATACGCCTTCTCCAATTCTACAAAACATATGTAGACCGGATAAGCGTACTCCCAGGCCCCCTCTAGGATCCTTGCGAGAGTAAAAAGCTTATCCGTCGTTCCACGACCAGGACGGAATCCGCATTGTTCCTCCTCAATCTGAGGTTCGACAATCGGCCTGACCCTCCTTTCAAATACCTTAGACTAGAGTACACTTTCCCGGGTAGGCTGAGTAGTGTGATGCCTCTGTAATTGGCACACATCCTCTGATCCCCCTTTTTGAAAAGGGGAACCACCACCCCGGTCTGCCACTCCTTCGGTACTGTTTCCGACTTCCACGCAACGTTGATGAGACGTGTCAACCATGACAGTCCCTCAACATTCAGAGCCTTCAGCATTTCTGGGCGGATCTCATCCACCCCCGGGGCTTTGCCACTGTGGAGTTGTTTGACGACCTCAGTGACCTCCCCCCGGGAGATTGGTGTTGATCCCCCGTCATACTCCAGCTCTGCCTCTAACATAGAGGGCGGAGTTGTCGGGTTCAGGAGTTCCTCAAAGTGTTCCTTCCAACGCCCTAACACTCCATCAGTTGAGGTCAACAACATCCCATCCTTACTGTACAGCTTGGATGGTTCCCTGCTTCCCCCTCCTGAGGTGTCGGACAGTTTTCCAGAACAACTTTTGTGCCGCCCGAAAGTCCTTCTCCATGTCTTCTCCGAACTTCTCCCACACCCGCTGCTTTTTCTCGGCCACGGCTGAGGCTGCTGCCCTTCGGGCCTGTCGGTACCTTGCAACTGGCTCGGGAGTCCCCCGGGATAACAAATCCCTGAAGGCCTCCTTCTTCAGTCGGACGGCTTCCCTGACCACCGGTGTCCACCAGGAGGTTTGAGGGTTACCGCCCCTTGAGGCACCTAAGACCTTGAGACCACAGCTCCCCGCCGCGGCTTCGGTAATAGAGGCTTTGAACACTGACCACTCTGGTTCAATGTCCCCAACCTCCACAGGAATGCCCGAAAAGCTCCGCCGGAGGTGTGAGTTGAAGGCCTCCTGAACTTGGGCCTCCTCCAGACGTTCCCAGTTCACTCAAACTACACGTTTGGGCTTACCAGGTCTATCCAGAGGCTTCCCCCGCCACTCGACCCAACTCACCACCAGATGGTGATCAGTTGACATCTCCGCCCCTCTCTTTACCCGAGTGTCCAAAACATACGGCCTCAGGTCCGATGATACGATAACGAAATCGATTATGGACCTTCTGCCTAGGGTGCTCTGGTACCATGTACACTTATGAGCATCCTTATGTTCGAACATGGTGTTTGTTATGGCCAATCCATGACTAGCACAGAATCCAGTAACAAACCACCACTCCGGTTCAGATCAGGGGGGCCGTTTTGATCTTTTATATACATTTATATTTTATATACATTAATTATTGTTTCTAGCAAGAAAAGTTAATATTATAATTGTTATACGCTATTTGTAATACTTTTTCTACGTTGTCCCTATTCCATTTTCCATACTTTAAACTATTCCAATAATATAAAGCATAAACTACAACTGTTGTTGATAGTTTGCTTTCATGGAGAAAATATAAAACCGTCACATTTCTTATTTTTTTTCTAAACTAGATCCTACAAAGCTTGAGCTAAGGATCTTAATGTTATATATATTGGAGCTGTTGACAGCATCTCTACCTTAATCACTTTTTCCAAGTATGAGTAGTTTTTGGCACATCATGTTCATGAATGTGTCACAAACACAAAGCAGTTATTTTGTATGCAACTGGGACAAGGAGCCACTTTCAGAAGTACATTTTTAAGCTGCAGTTGTACACAGTAGCCACAGGATGGCAGTCCTGTATTTTTTATGATAGAGAACCCACATATATCAACCTTAATACTGACATGTTAAATGCAAAATCTATTAACAATCAACCTTGATGAAATCCCGAAAATGTGAGAGGAAATAATATTGTAGGTTCACAGCAACTTGGTTATTTATATAACTGTTCTCATCTGCTTGGCTCCGAGAGAGTGCCGCAGCTTTAAGTCATCACATTTGGCCTACAGGTGCTGGCAGAGGACATTCGCTGTGAGTTAAGGCTGCACGATTTGGGGAAATAATCTAATTGCGATTTTTTTCTGACAGATATCGCGATTTGATTTGCGATATTTGTTTTAAGCGACCCAACTGAAGTTTATTGTAAAATGCGGCCATATCTCCGGCTAGGAAGGTCATATCAACGTGCTCCCGCCTCTAGCACCCCCGCAGCCCGAGCTACGAGTGAAATAACTACACTTACATGAAACTTCCGTTGGGTTGCTTTAAAGTCAAGCTTCAGTTTAAGATTCACCCTGTAATAGATGTAGAACATGTGATGGAGCATTACTAACCTGACTCAGATGGTTTGTTTCACCAAACCATCTAGGAAATCTCCATTGGAAGCCATTTGGAAAGGGCAGGCACTTTAAAAAATACTTGACAGGTGATTGGATCAATCTGTCTATCACCTTCTATCATGGCCTACTTCTGATTGGTTAACATTGGCTGGTACATGTGGAGCACAGCACTTCTGATTGGTGTGGATGACTGTCACACAAGAAGAACAAAACGTGTAAAAATAATCGCATCATTTAAAATCGCGATTTAGATTTAAAATCGATTAATCGTTCAGCCCTACTGTGAGTGTGAGTAGTTCAGTTCAGGCTGTGAATTGACTCCATTATACTGTTTTATCTGTTTTGTGTTCAAACACACACACACACACACACACACACACACACACACACACACACACACACACACACACACACTGTTAGTGGCTTAATATCGAAACATCTCAGACTCATGTCACGTTTGTTTGAGCGTCAAGGCCAAACGGACTAATCAGTTACCATGCCAACTAATTCAACTATGAGTTAAGAGAAATTAAAGAAAGACAGAGATGGAGTGAGCGAAAAACTAGATGAGCGAAGGGTGACAGCTACCATGGAAACAGAGTCAACAAAAAATGCAACAAGTGCAGACCTGAAATAAGAGGAGCAACTCAACACAGAAGTGAGGAAGCTGGCAGTAGTAATTGAACATTGCTTGTTTCTGTTCAAATATATTGTCATTTTAATTATTAAAAAGCAATAACTAAAACAGAAGCAGAATACAATGATAAGAATTAATTAGATACACAACAACTTTTTGCCAATCAACTCAAACAAAAAGCTGAAACCTCAAAACACAGATGAAAATAATCCTGATCCCTCCATCATCTGCTGCCTGTGCGTGAGGTGTGTGCTGAGAGCCGATCACATGACACTGCGTGAGTGGAAGGCTGCCAAACAATCAAATGTTCAAACCTACGGGCAATTTGGAGTTGTTTACCTAACATGCATGTCTTAGAACGGTGACTGTGTGCGGAAACAAGGGCAGCCCTTTCAGGTGGGCAGGTTAGAATAATTAGGGGCTTTAAGTTGCCTGTGGTGTGAATGTGAGTGTGTGTCTGTGTCAGCCCTGTGATTGACCCGTACAGGGAGCACCCCGCCTCTGAAGCACCCAGCGACCCTCATGAAGAAGCGTTTAAAGCTTGATGGAATAAAAAACAGAGAGAGAACAAAGAGGAAACTGTTAAGGTTCACCTCCAGGGGTAAGAAAACCTTGTTCAACATCCCATTGCCCTTTGGACCTACTATGATAACACAAAATACAGAATTGTAACTAACTTTCTGTACAGTTTATGTGTCTCACTTCCTATGTCTCGCCAAGGGCTTTTCTTTTTTAAACAATCTTATATTGTTTATTTCATATTTATGTTTGTTGTGGCCTTAAACTAATACCACACTAGACTAGTGTTCATTTCGTTGACTAAAACTATGACGAAATATGTTCGTCAACGACCTTTTTTTCCATGACGAAAACGAAACGATGACGAGACGGCAGTAAACAATA